CCAGCTTTGAAGCAAGCCGCAAGAGCTGTTGAAAACCCACGAAGTATGTTGTCGGCATGCTTGATGACCAAGGCCACCAGCAACCCACCTGCTGACCGTTCTGTTGCAACGACTCCCAGAAGTTTCATACATACATATATACGTAGACATATACATATATATATATATGCCCTGACAGGACGGGAGGACGGGCCTATAGCGTTGTTGAAGATCATGACCCATACCTTAGGAGCGCAATTTGTCTGGCCGGTGCTTGTGCATTGGCAATGTGTTTTGACGCACCGTGTAGTTAAAGACCGGGATACGTTGAAAGAGAAACCGTGAAATATTCCATGAGTTTCCTGGCGGTCGGACAGCGCAGCATCAGGCGATCCGCGGGACGCCCCCGTCGTCACGCCCGTCAAGATCAAGGAGTAGAATGCCTCGTGTTTAGCATCACTGCAGGAGGCGTGCTTGTGCCTGTCGCCGTAAGAAACATCTAGTCTTACGGGTGAGGTCATTATGTCTGCGCGTTCGGGAACATAAGCCCCGACTGCCTGCCTAACCCCCGAACCCCAAACCCTAAACCCTAAACCCTAAACCCACCCTAACCCGAAACAACCCAAACCCTAAACCCTAAAATTGCGAACCCTGATGGCCCCAAGCCTTAAACCCTAAGCATTAACACCCTAAAGAGTTTGAGGACATGCTGCGCCGGGGAGGGCGGCCAAAAAGCTTTTTCCGTTGAAGAAAAAGTATCATTCATGGACAAAGGCACCAACTGCATGTTCTGCACCCACATGGATGTCTTTACCGCTCTCCCTGTCTGCTTCACAAGCTTCTCCAAGTATACAGCCTCGGTTGCTGCAGTCTGTGGCAGTCGTTGGTAATACTAGGAGGTGGTGCTGATGCTGGTGGTGGTGGCGTTGCTGCTGGTAATTACTGCTGTTGCTGCTGGTGCTGGCGGTGCCGGTGTTGCTGGTTTTGCTGGTGGTGCTGGTGCTGCTGGTGCTGCTGGTGCTGCTGGTGCTGCTGGTGCTGCTGGTGCTGCTGGTGCTGCTGGTGCTGCTGGTGCTGCTGGTGCTGCTGGCGTTGCCGGTGTTGCTGGTGGTGCTGGTGGTGCGGGTGCTGCTGGTGCTGCTGGTGCTGCTGGCGCTGCTGGCGCTGCTGGCGGTGCTGGCGGTGCTGGTAGTGCTGGTAGTGCTGGTGATGCTGGTCATACCGGTGGTGCAGGTGGTGATGCTGGTCATACCGGTGGTGCAGGTGGTGCTGCTGGTGCTCCTGGTGCAGCTGGTGCTGCTGGTTCAGCTGCTGCTGCTGCTGTCGGCGGTGAGCATTGCTCCTGTTGTTACGAGCATGCATAAGAAACATCATAGGCAAGGAGCAGCGAAGCCGCTGCAGAAGCAACCGCCAAGGACAAAGAGGAAACCTAGTGCTGGCCGCTGTTCACTGGCGTTTGCCATAGACGCTTGTTTGCTCTCCTGCCAGGGATGCGCTTAGAGGCCACGAATATCGTAAAGAAGCTGCGGCTTGAGATATGCAAGAATCACATCGAATGTTCGGCCTTACTTTGTGAGAGCTGGACGCCGGCAATGCCAGCCTGCAGTGTCACATCGAATCAATGACAGCCCTGGCTGTTGCACACCAAGTACAACTCCCGAATCACCGATCTTCTGCGCAACGTGAAACTGCTTCTGAAGTGGGTTGTAAGTTGTAACCCTGATAGGTAGCTTTACTGTCGCTGTCGAGCAGCGGCCATCACAGCTATCGCCAGCCAGGCTGATCTCACCAAGCGCTTGTCCAGAAGCATTACCGACAGCCCGGCCATGACCAGCCTATCGGCACACAGATGCGTTCATGCGATCTCGCCGGTACCAGTCTGGGGTAAGTGTTTCTGCTCTTATATACAATAGCAGCAGCAGCTGTAGTAGTGGTGGTGGTAGTAGTACTAGTAGTAGCAGCAGTAGCAGCAGCATGTAAGAACAGCAGCAGCAGCCGCCGTGGCACTAAACTTGCGATCGAAGCTCGTCTTCCCCTGCCACAAGACTTGGAAAAGAGCTGCCGGGAGATGGACCGTGGCAAGCTGCATCGCCTTGGCGGTTGCTGGCAGGCCCTCCGACTGATCACGAACTAGCTCGACTCGAAGGAAGAGCAATGCTGGGAGCCTTGCTGCGTTTTGGAAAACAAAGAGAAGAGCCGGCACAGCCAGTCGGATAGAGTCGCCAAACTCTATTGCCAGTAACGCTTTGAATGTTCCTCGTAGACCTCCATGCTCCAAGATCACCAAGCCCAAGGACATCAGCAGTTTCAGGCCCTCCTCGAAAAAGCACGAGCTGATCGGCTCTCTGTCAAGGTGACACTGATACTGCAAAACGGATGCATTCTCGCTGGTCCTGGCAACCGATGGACACCACCGTGCTGAATCTATCCTCTTCTCTAGCACCAGTTGTGGCCTTGGCAGAGGTTCGGAATGTCGTTTGCAATTCTTTCTGGAATCTGAGGCGGGGCACGTATCTGAACACGATGGGCGTGATTGCATTTTGCCTTGGCTGGCCCACTGGCAGGTTTAAAAAGAACTAAGACTAAGAAGTGGGCACACCGACTGAGCACTGCCGGCAAGCTGCACCAGCATGAGTGCAAGGCTTGGCCATTTCCAGGGACTGCTTGCCATCGCGCCGGAGGCAGCGGCATGCCAACTGAAGGCTCGGGAGCTACGCTACAGTCTACACGCTACAGAATCCCATTATCATGCGTTTCCCTCAGCTTGTGCAGCAGGCGGTACTACCCCCTTCTCTCGTCCCAAGTGCTCTAGAGAATGATCTTGAATGCCAGGAACATGAAGAGCCAGATAGCCATGCAGAGTCTGCAAGCGTCCACACTGCTTCAGACCGTGGAGCCTGAGAAACTAAGCTGCCGGCTGCCATCAGCAAAGCTGTTCGCCCATCAATCCGGGACGCAGAGTCCGCCGCTGCTTTACCCGCGATTAGCAATTTCACCATGCTTGCTTGGCACGTGCCACAGGCAAGCATCAAGGCCGTTCTCCCCGTTTGGCCACTCCTTGCGTCGACATCTGCAGCTCCCTCCAGCAGCTTGGCCGCGAGCTCTTCATGCTCAGAAAGCACGGCGAACATCAAGGGAGCCCATCCTTGATCTGTCATGGCCTGAGGGTCAGCTCGGCGTGTCAGCAGCGTGTCGACAACTTCCAATGCATCTGAATTCGATGTTTCCACACAAAGAATATCTGCGACCGTCCAAATGAGCAATGCTGTGGCAGCCTCCAGGTTGCATGATGCGGGTAGAAGAGATGGCCACCCGAGGCAGGGTCGCAGCTGGTCGCCCGCCGTGCTGCAGATGCGCTCCAAGCACTCTAGCCCCTCAGGGCTGAAAATTGAAACAACATCTTCCGACATGTCTTGCAAGAAGGAGCTTGTGCCGGACAGGTCAGGCAAGCACAATGAAGCGATCGAGGGGAAGAGCCAGTCACCCTCCATCTGCTCAAACATACCTAGCCATTCCTCGCGAACTGGCTCATCGCTGTGCTCGGAGATCTGGGACCAACGGCGGGCATGCAAATCCCACTCGCCCATTGCCAGCAACTTCTTAGATCGAAGAACGACAAGGGCACATCGCTTCTGCCGGATGTCCCTGACGTAGTCAGCTGCGCAGTTGTTCAATTCCTGTGCTGCTCGCACAACAGCATGTGAGTCCAGAAGCACAGACAGCTCGAAGCATGGCATCTCGCTTTGACCGAGTCGAAGAGACTCGTCGAAGCCGACTGAAATCTGCGAAGCCAGATGTGTGAAATGCACCAGCGGATGATCTGCAACAGCTTGGTCACGAGCCAGGCGATTCAGAAGCTTGCGTGGCTCCTCCTTCAAAACTTTTGCGCTGCTGCCTGTGCAAATCTCATCGAAGTGCCTTTCGACCTCATCTAGTCTGTTCAGGTGCTCGCCACAAGCCCAGAAGGACCTGTGCTGCACGACATATCGGGCCAGCAAGCTCTCGGGAGCTAAAAGCAAACGTTGAATACGGTTGCTTCCCAGCTTGTCCGGCAGAGCGGGAAAGAATTTCGCCAAATATCCATGACCTCAGCCATGTGCAGCGTGTTTTCAAGCGCACGCCGGAACAAGCCCCAAGCAGTAATACGGAACACATGTACATGTACACTATACCTTTGCAAGGCAACCGTAGCCAAAGCAGGCCTGCCGACTCCAACTACTCCATTCCGCAGCAAACACGTTCTGCTGGGAAAACTTACCCCTTTACTGCAAAAACTCCTTTGTTCTTCCGGAGACTGGCACAAGCAGCGGTTCAGACTGGGACCTCCATGCTTCCTGGAACTTAGAGAATACGACGGTCGCAGAACTTTTCATGCTTGAAACTGAGAGGCTACAGCAGACGGCATGGACATTAGCCTGAAGGAGCTTCAAGGAGCCTTAGGGGCTCCTGACAGGTCACTGCTTGGGAGGTCTTTTTTTGGGACAAGCATTTTCGGCTTCAGCATGTGGGCACTGCATGTGAAATCGCGCTGACATAAGTCGAGGGGCTCCTCAGTTCAGCGACGCTCGGGATGCCCTTCACACCAGCGGCTTGACAGGCATCAAAGGCTTCAGGTACATCGAAGCCTCCCCAACCGGGCAAGAATAAGTCTCTTCCTCGCTGCACTGTCAGCCAGTCTGAAGCGGCGGAGGCAGAAGCATCCCCTGTCTGCGCCCAACAGTCGTCTCCCAAAATGCGTTTGGCATTCTCCAGAGCTTCATTCTGATGGCTCTCCATGAACTGCGAAGTCTTCACTCGTAATGCAACACTGATCTACCAACTCTGTGAAGCCACGAATACACACACACACACACACACACACACGACACCTACTGGACAATGGCCCAATGCCTCACGGCCACCATGCACAATTATTGGTACTTAACTTTAACCTGTCTACATCTCAGCCGCGGCCATATCTGCGGGCGTGATGCAAGGCCGCAGGAACATTCATAAGTCCGGTCACAGGCCAAGGGACCAACCTGAACTTGCCCTTGCCTGGCACCGCTCGGAGACACCTCAGTAGCAAAGCGACAAGTGCTCTGTCGTCGAGCGCCCGCTTGGGGAGCCCGGCCGCTCCTCGCGGCGACGCTTGGAACGGAAGTTGCCTCTCTGTTCGCGCTGTACTCTTCAATCTTGAGGCAGCAAGCATGTTGTGCAACGCTCTCATGTCAACTTCATTTTCCTTCAAGCTTTTTGGGATTGCGGCTTTGCCGCACCCACTGATCCGCTGAGCTTCCACGGCTTCACGGTCTCGGCCACATTGGAGATCTGGCCGGGCTCCTCCACATGCCTGGCTCAGAAACTTGATCTCGTGACCCCAAGCGAAGGCGGAGCAGGCCTGAACTCGTCCTTGACCTTGGCCACGTCCGAGATCCTCGTCACCGTGATCTTCAAGCCGGCTGGATGGCTTCTGCGGCGCCCTGCAGCAGGCCAAGTGAAACTGTCATGGTCCTCCAAATGCAATCACACGACCTTCTCGACGTTCATATTCATCACGAAGACCTTGGCCTGTGCGTCCAGTTCGCACAGAGCAGCTGCCCGTTTACAAAACAATGACGATGGAAGCATGTGTCTGGTTGACATGATACCTATCAGTGCGCAAGCACCTTCTGTAGAGGATGCCTCACCTAAAGGGAGACTTCAAAGGAATCTACGGCTGCACGATGGCGAAAGCGCATCTACCGTGCGGAAAGCTCGAGACTGACAGATTTGCGCAAGGCACTTCCGCACATTCAAGGGCGGCTTACGTTTGTCGGCGGCATGCTTCTGCTCTGGCCTCAAATCCATGCTTCAGCACTCAGCCGAAGCCAGGAATGCATCTTCGACTCTCGGATGGGGTCCTGATCGTGGAGAAGAAGCTAGCTCAGCGCGGACATGCCTTTTCAAAAAGCACGCCTCTGTCGAAGTGGCTTCCAGCACCAGGCCCGCGTCCATCACTGTGTAGTTCACGCCTTTTGCTGATGCAACGTCCGGAATGTTGAGAGCATATTCCAAGGGTGCAGCCGCTTGAACACCACGTTCAGCTAGTATGGCGATTCGCGGACGACCCCTCGGATTCAGGCAGGCAAAGCTTGGACCACCAAGAGCCGAGTTTTGCCAAGATGCGTCTCCAGGATTCCATGGAGATGAGCCGAGCCTGCTCTGGGTCAGCTTGGAGTTTTTGGAATCTTTGGAGGCTTGAGGGCCCTTTGGGGCCCTTGGTGCTCCGGCCTCCAAATCCGAGCACTGCCGCGAGAGCGAGTCCTCTTCCGAGATCTCTCAGAAACATTCACGAAAATGCCCATACCCGTGCCTTCCACTGCAAGAAGCTGGACTCCAGACTTGTGAGCCTGGGCGGCAGTACCATGCTCGACCTGCTGATCCTTCGGCAGCTCTCAGGCATCGGCCGAGCCGAGAGCGTGCGTGACACGCCTTCTGTTTGCTCGAGCCGGGAGGTCAGCGACCTCCGAAAAATTCGGTGGAAAGACGAGCCTTGCAGGATGTCGGGCACTGAGCACGGGGCTGAACACCAGCCACCATGACTGCGATGAGGTCCTGACAGCTTGCTAGTTGGATCATTCTGGGAAACCAAACTTCCCTGTGCCGCGTCCTGGTAAGCTATGCCTTTGATCTTTCGTTCGTCGGAGGACTCCTGGATAACCTCCACTTACCGCGGGCTCGCGTCGGGCCCTCGCAGGTGGAGCATTGTGCGGCCTCTGGCAGAGTTTCGGCAACTTCATCAGCGATGAAGCCAAAGCGCGGATGCTTGGCTTCGGCATCACGCCTCGCTCGGTCAGCTCTGCTCTGCAGTCTCTTGCACAAAATCATCCGAGGTTGCAGCGTGAAATAGTAGGACACTGGTCGCAGCTGCCGCAAGATCCACGCCTTGAGCCAGTGCAAACTGGTAGTATCAAGCAGAAGACCAGACCTCAGTCTCGGAAGCTGACAGCTCCTTGACCGTCACTGGCGACAACTCCTGTGACCAAGCCGGCGAAACCATTCCTCGCGAAGATGCGCCGTTGCGATCCACGGCGCCTGCGGCGGATGCCTTCTCGTCTAGGCCCGTGGCCTGGAGGAAAATTTTCCAGCTGTCAGCACGTGCAAGAAGGAGAAAAGGCCATGACCAGGGGGTGGATACTCTTCTTCAGCCGACGATCGGAGATGTGCAACATGTGGTCGGAGTACCTCAGTACAGTAGCGTCATACGTTTCAGCTTGGGTCAGCCCTGGTTGCCAATCCATCTAAGCCGCCAGAGACCGTGCAGGGCTCCGCCAACGTTGCCGGTTGTAGGACCCGTGGGCTTCTGCATTAAGCTCAAAGACCGCTGGTTGTTGACCTCAAGATCCACGAAGTGCGTTGGGCAGTTTGGGCAGTGCTAGTACCAAGCAGCATAAAACTGCAGTTGGTTGGTGCTGGAGACTTCCGAGGTGATGTAAGTGTTGGTGTACGTAAAGTGCACCTGCTTCCGCTTCCGGGCTGGGGCTGCATGCGCAAAATACTGACACAAAGAGGCAATCACCACACCAGGACAAGTGCGCAGCAGGCAGTACTAGTGGCTGCCAGCATATGCCAGCCTTGCTGGAGGCAGAAATGGGCGAATCGCATCAGGCAAAGCCTGTGTCGTCCAAAGATGTCTCCAAAGGCTGTGAAGGCCCAAGAAGGGTCCCCCTCAATACTGCTCCAAGGAGATGCACTGCGATGCACTGCTAGCGGCAGTCGCGCCTCGCATCGAAAGTGTGAAGCCGGGGTGTGCGAAGTCCGATGTCGGAGCTGCCGGCTCGAGGCCTCGGTGCCATCGCATTTTGAGCACGGGGGTCTCGCAAGAAGAGACAAGTCCCAGAGACGCAACAGCCTTTAAGGCAGCCACAGGAAAGCGATTGCAGCAGCAGCAAGACGTCCAAGTGTCCAAATCCCAACACAGCCGCTGAAAAGGCCAGGCCTCGGCCGACAGAGGGCTACCCAAGTGATATGCAGATACGGAAGCAACAACACTGGTCCCGTCGGCTGCGAGTCTGCGCGAGGCTCGTCTGCAACCCGCGGCCTTCTAAGTCCACTGCACGCGAGTGACTGCAGAACCAGAGGTGCGCCAGTCTGCAAGGCGCCACAGACTGGCAGTTGTTGCCTCAAGCAGTTCGAAGTCAGGAAAAGGGTGAAAGCGAAAAAGCAGCCAAAAATCACAACTTGCCACCTGACATGTGCCTGCTGGGCACAAGGCCCACCGATTCGAACACCACCAGCTGCACTCGCCGCACTCCCCGTATGGGACAAGGCTCTGGTAAATGAGGAGAAGCCTGAGCACATGTGCCATGCACGACAAGGCAAGACATCAGCAGTTGCCCGTGCTGAGCTCGCTGCCTAAATGGGCCGAATCCGAGGCCAACGGCAACAGTTCGGTTCTGCCCACGCCCACTGTAAACAGTGGCACTTCAAGTCAAGCGCAGGACCTGCGCATGGATTTAATGCTTTGCGCGCGTGTGACGTGGTCACGTGCATGTCGAGATCACTGACAGGCAACAGTCGCCCGGCTGAGTGCACCTCGGTGAAGGCAAAAGGCCTCGCCAGCGCGGGACAAGATTGTTTCACAAAACCGAGATCAGTTGCTCACGGGGCCTGCATGCGCGGATTTCAATGCTGTCAAGGGCAGGCCCAGTTGTCCGGAGCCCCGCGACCTTCCGCAACGGGCAAGCCGAAACTGGAGTGCTGGCAGCTGCACAGTACTCGGGGCAGGGAGTCCGACGCCAGCAATGGCTCCAATTGGGCAAGGCCCAAGACAAAAGCTGCCAGCCTTGCGACAAGCTTCAACAAGGCGACGGGACATGTACACCTATCTTGACAGCTCCCAGTTAAGGGAGCACAAGTTGTGAATCGAAACGAATCGAAACCTTGTGGAGGCGCAGAGGCCCGCGCTCTAGACATGCTTCGCCGGGTGCAGAAACGAGCAGACCAGGTCAGACGGAACCTCCACAAGAGCGCCTACTGGTTTTGGTCGCCACTGGTTGCCAAGGATCTGGCATCGAAGGAGCATCAGCGAACCAAGAGAAAACAGGTGGTGGACAGGCAGCTGCGGGCCCAACCTGAGGCACCAGGTCGGGCACAAAAGCAGTGCTGCAAGCTCCCGGCATCCCCGGCCGCGCAGAGCTGCGGAGAAGGAGAGGAGAGCCAGGAAGTGCATGACCAAGAACCTGGAGTTTCGGGAAAGTCAGTGTCAAACAACTGTAATGCCGACACAGTTAACCATCTCCCAAGCTCTCTGCAGATGCTGGTGATTCCGATCGCAGCTTGCCCAACAGAAGCTGGGCTGACCTTTGCACCACGACTGCCTTTCGCGGTTCCTGCACTGGTCGAAAGCTGCGACGCCAAGGCCAAGACCCCGTTTGCGCGAGGCTGCGAGTGGGCGAGGAAGAAGACAGGGAGGCAAATCCCGAAGCCTCGAAGCGACACGAAGCGACACGAAGCGACGCGCCACGGCAGCTCGAGCTCGAGCGAGGCCGGGCTTCCAGCAGGCGCGGCAGCTTCGACGTGAGCGAGCGATCGCAAGGGCAAGGGAGATCCGAGACTGCACAAAGCAGGGCTCGCCGGGCTCGCAGTGAGCGCTCAGGTGGCATGGCCACGGCCAGATTCATGGAAGCGATGCGGCTGAGGCTTCCGCTACAGGGGATCCAGTACAGGCGTGGGAAGTCCCATCCAGGTTGCACCAGCAGCAACCATTGGCGCCCCTGGTCGATGCATCCTGCGGAGGCATCACGGAAGCTCGCTAGCTTCTGATCAGAGACAGCTCGTTCGTGGGCCTCTTGGGCGGCAAAGATGTTCCCAAGTTCGAGGCAAAGAGAGCCGACAGAGACGAGCCTGGCAAGAGCGGCGAGGAGAGCAAGCTCCTGGAATCCCCTCTTTTTTGAGACTCTGGCCGAGGCAAGCGGAGCTCTGCGACACCACCAAGAATTCAAGGCGAAGAGAGCATAAGGCAAGCAGAAACGAGCCAAACCTGACAAGGCCAAGCTGCAGTCTTCCCGAGCATCTCACAAGCAAGCGGTTGCTCTCCCAGACCTTGCAAGAGATCGCGGCAATAATGATGGGCCCGTCTGCGTGTAGCCTCAGCTGCTATCGAAGTCACTAGTCTAACTCTGAT